AAGAAAGATATGAAAAGTGTAACATGACTTCTCAATCTACTACATACTGCTTTGCTTCTATAGATGAAAAAAGTGAAGACTGAATATGAAAAGACTAATGAGGACGAAAAGACTGAAAAAACAAATGCAATATTTTTAGTCGGCAATCGATAAATGTGATAATCGATAGAGAGCGTAAACATCTTTTGTGAATTTATTTTCAGTATTAAAGTTTAGTATATAGTTTTATTTAGTATGTAAGTTTCAAGTTTTCTAGTAGGAAAAAGTATTCTCTTTAAAAACCTAAAACATAATAAGATTGCATTAAGAATGCAAATTCATTTAAATTTACTTTAACTAATTCATTAGTTATTAGTTAAAGTAAATTTATTAGTTACTTTAATAAGTTTTTCAATGAAGGAGATCAATTCTTTTAGAAATCTAAAATATACTCATGTAATAAGATTGCACAGATACTAAAAATATTATATTAAATTCTGAGTAAGTTAAGAATTGAGTTTTTATATTATACTTTGGTGCCGTTTTAGAATATATATTACTGAAAGGAGAATTGCTTATACCGTCCATGCATCGAGCAACTGAAGCCAACATCTGTGTGAGAGAGAAAGGTATAGATTCTCAATTGTTTGTAATGCGCATGTGCCACTTAGCCCCGTTTTTCATTTTTTTTTAAATAAGAAATTTGGCAAAACGGACTGAGTAGGGGCTGAATGGCACATGTGCATTACAGGCAATTGGGAATTTTTACCTTTTTCTCTCGCACAAATGTTGGTTTACGTTTAGCACTCTATTCTCCTTCCAGTAATGAAATATATGTTCTAAGGGTGCCGTCAACTTTTAACTACTTTATAAATTTCTTGAGCACTTTCTACTTCTTTTACTCTTTTTACCTCGTTTATTAAAAATGCAAATAAATTTAAATTTACTTTAACTAATAAATTTTTTTGAAATTAAAAAGTTGATCAATCTTACAAAAATATATTTTTTAAATTTGTATGCTTTAAGTTTATATCTTTAAGAGTAAGCATAAGTGAATGTAAAAGTTAAATTAGGATTAGATGAAAAGGATAAAAGAGGTAAAAAATGTTCAAGAAACATAAAGTAGTTAAACGTTAATAGCACCAAAGAATAACTAAGTTCTTAATTTATTCAGAATTCAATGCAATATTTTTAGTGTTTGTGCAATTGATAAGTTTTCCAATAGAGAAGTATTCCCTCTAAAAAACTAACACATACAATAAGATTGCGTTAAAAATGTAAATTTAGTAAGATTGAACAACTCTAGTTTTAAAATTACTTATTAGTTACTAATAAATTATTTTAAAACTAGAGTTGTTATTACTAATAAATTATGTTAAAACTAAGGAATTGTTCAATCTTACAAAAATATTTGTTTTTAATTTGTATGCTTTAAGTTCAGTTTATTATCTTTAAGAGTAAGCATAAAAGTGAACATAAAAGTTCGATTAAGATTAGATAAAAAGAGTAAAAGGAGTAGAAAATATTCAAAAAGCTTAAGTAGTTAAAAAATCACGGTACCAAAGTATAATATGAAAACTGGGTGGCATCTGATTGACGTTGCGATTGACCACTAGCCACTCACAGTGCTTGAATAATGGAAATCTCTAGGCATCGGCCATTGTGAATGGCT